CCCCAAAACCCCAAAACCCCAAAACCCCAAAACCCCTAATTGCTACATGTGAATTGAACTAAATTCTTACAATGATCTTGAGCTTAGACTTTACTCAAGAAATTAGATGTCTTCAGCTTACTTGCTCCACGAAGTAAGACCTTCTTCCTTTGATCCCATGTGCTAGGCTTGTTCGAAGTCTTGAAAGTGATGTTTTTTGAGTTAATTAACTTGGATTTTGGCAAGTTAGAATTCTTAGTCTTTGATTTCATCAGTTTAGCATCTTGGATAACCATTTCGAATCTTCCTTGGATCCATTTCTCAGTTTCTCGCATTTTAGCATCATAATCTTTAATAAGATTACTTCTGAAGGAGAGAGGAGCATTTCCTTTGAGCCCTTTTTCAAGGTTTTTACGACTATTTTTCATTGATACAATCGGAGAGCAAGGACTAGTATTTGCAAAATTCGATCTCTGCCTCTTTTTATCAGGCGTATGAAACCTCGAATCATCATTCAAAGGCACTTCCAAAAGATTCATAGATGGTTGTGAGTACAAAAGAACTTTTTCATTATCGTGATACTCATCTCCACGCGGCAGCAGGAAGTTAAAGTCAGGAATCTTTTTCTCACTAAGATAATGCTTCCTGGGAATAGGCTTTTCTAATAACTTCTTTGACGACTCTGCTAAATTTCTGCGTCTGATCCTTCCTCTCCTAGTCTTCAGCATATTATGAATGGCCTTTTGGACCCTTAGCTTCCGATGTTCTTGTGAAAAGATCTTGCTCTCTGCAGAAGACTTGTTCAGTATCATCTTTGTTAGAAGAGGCCAGCCTCTCTGTAGAAAGGTGAGAATAGATGGAGGGAGAAACTTACTTCTTTATTTGCCAGCAAGCTCGAAGAAGTTGGTGAAGTCAGTGTCAGGATGGTTGTCGTAGTTGACCACGAGGTCTGAGATTCCTTTGAGTAGGATGGATGGCCGAGAGGCTAGAGAATGGATAAGTGGAAGAAGGTATGAGAAGAGAGTTTAGGAGTATTTTTGAGTGAAGAAGCTTTTCAATAATCAGCAAAGGAAGATTCATTCCAATTTTATTTACAAGAAATTTATAATAAACGTTCTTTTAAAATTAGAAAGAGTCTTTAGTACTTATACTTATAACATACCTGCTTTTTTCATTGGCAATTCATTAGGTTCAATAATTCTGATATCAAACCCAGAGATCTTCTTGTGAAACTTTGTCATTTAAAAATTAATTATAACTATCAGATCTAACTTAATTTATACTTATTTTCAGTTTAGTGTAGCTTTAAGGGGTTTTGGGGTTTTGGGGTTTTGGGGTTTTGGGG